AGAATATTTTTTTTTGAAAGAATATTTTTCAATCTAACCATCTATATTCTTTTTTCTTTTTCTCTCCATCACCTTTGTTGATATATAAAATAATACAACATTATATATCGTTATATCACACACACACACACACACACACACACACACACACACATATATATATATATATATATATATATATATATTGAGGGTGATTGAAAATTCCCCCCCCCCCATTTCACAAAACTTATAATTTGTTTATTAACTATAATTTTACAAGAAATGGATATGAGAGGAAAGCGTTTTAGCATGAGGTTTTATTTAAAATTCAGATTTCTGTCCCAAGTTTCTCCAGCTGTACAGAAATGGTAACAATTGATTTCACTAGGAATACTTGTCGTATGGAATACATAATTTCTTGTATTCGCTCTTCCAGTTCTTCTAAATCTTTGTTTGGTATAATAGAATTGCTCCTTTAACCAATGCCAAAGGAAAAAGTCAGGAGTCCTGACGGTCCACACATACATAAAATAGGGAATTATATTTCAACCACGGAGCTACGGTGGTGTAATGAATCGCCGGGTGGAATCGGAGAGCCGAGTTCGACTTCCAGTCGAATCCATGTGCTAATACCCTTGGGAAAGGTCCGAATCCATTTATTCTCCCTCCAGCTATGGATAAATAGCAGGTTCTATAGCCTTGGATGGCAACTGGTCTAGGAGAAGAACAACTCTGAATTCGAAGGGTCGTTTGGGGACCCTGTGGCGCTTAGTGCACCAAGTCTCTCTATTCGGCCCTTCAAAAAGTGTGGATGGTCCTGCACGAAGCCTTCACCACTATAATCAAATATCAAGTGCTCGTGTCGGGCTGTCAGTTTCCGAGAAAATGATCTGCTTGTACATCGTATTCGTCGAGTATATATATATATATATATATATATATATATATATATATATATATATATATATATATATATATATATAATATTAGTGGAAAATATACATACATATGCAAAATATATATATATATATAAAAAAATACCCATACATGTATATTTTCAGGAAAAAAAAAATATATATATATATATATATATATATATATATATATATGATACCACTAGTACAAAGGGGATAGAAGGTGGTGAAAGTAAGAAAGGATGAGGAAGTGGAGTTTGGGGAGTAATCTTCAAGCCATATTTGAAAAATCTTTATTTTTAAAAAGACTATGCAATGTAATGTTTTAAAAGTAAATGTTTATTTCTTTATTATTTTACTATTTACAAATTTCATAAATAAAAATTCCTTATTAAAATCTAAGTGTGCCAGAGGGATTTAGTTTAGGGGTAGACAGATTTGCCTGTCTTCTGGTTGACAATCCTGCTCGCTCTTTGAAACAGGAGTTGGGGATTTAGCCCTTGTTTCCTGTTTAGGAATCGGCTTCCGGTTCCCTCGCATCCTACTCTTCCACTTCCGGTGATTTCTTTTTCTCTTGGTGACATTATCCCCTTACATGTGTTTGTACCTCTTACTCTGTAAGCAGCTAAATCGTGTGGACCTTGGGCCTTGTACAGGGCGGAGATTATTTTAAAAAATATGCTCAGTAAAGTCCAATATATGCTGCCATATTAATCACAACGTTTCGGCCGTTGTACACTCCGGTCTTCTTCAGGTGGTTGGAATGTCGTCGACCTGAACCCTTTATTTCGCTCGCTGGGGTAGACTGTTCTAGTTCCATGTGCAATGTCTAATGGATGTCAGTTATCAGTTATCTCCTGTTAATTCACCTCTCCAAGTTCTCCACTGCCTTAACCAGGTATTGAACTCACAACTTTTTGGGTCCTGTCACTGGATCTAACCAACGCTTTTATCCACTGTGTCATGTGTCCTTAAGGTTAATACATATAATACAATATATAATACACCATCTCAGAAATACAGAGAGATAATGCTCCCTTAGGTAACAAAAAATAGCCTGAGAAACATGTATTTAAACCGTAACTAAAAAGCGAAGAAACAAATTCTTGATTTTCCTCGAAAGTGAACGCAAACAGGCTAGGCAGGATTTGATATCAGTCCGCCGTTTCCAGACTCTGCGCCGATATCCGCAACACTACCTTTAACTTTCTTATCTACCAGTCTGTTAAAATATAGATATAAGTTATATATATATATTTTTTTTTACCAATGTCTGTGTCTTCATACACTGACAAACGAAATGCGTCAATCTTTTATTTCCTTTCTTCCCCCCCCACTACACATTTATTTATCAATTTTTTTTTTCCGACGTAGCTGTCAAGATCTGTATCTAATCACTTAGCTCGGTGTTTTTTTATCGATCTTATCTGCTTCTTTGGTCGAATCTTTGAAAGATATGAGTAATTTGTAGATGGCATTTCGACGTATCTATACTAATCTACCTACCTATCCATATATGTTCGCTTCTACAACCATTTCTACCACCTTTTTCTGTCTATCTATCTATCTATCTATCTATCTATCTATCTATATATATATATATATAT